ATACTGGGAAAACCAAATTATTCTCAAGGTGCATCCCGGGCCAGGAGAAGGCACACCTGAGGATTAATGGCCATCAAATTGAAGAAATAGACAGCCTTAAATACCCAAGAGTAAAGACGACATTGTCTCCCGAATGGATGCTGCTTGCCGGGTTTTCTCAATCCTCCAAAAGCGCTGAGCACCCGTCCGTTCAGTCCTCCTCTGTGGGTGTTAATGCTGGACCATGCGCCTGGAAGAGGCGCAAAGACCACCGCTACCTGAGGACCATCCTGCGAGTGAACTATACCGACCTTATCTCAAATGGGATGGTCCGCACTCGCTGCGACAGTATCGCAAGGATATTCCAGCCCATCCAAGGAAGACGATTGAGGTGGTTTGGGAATTTTTTTCGTCGTCCGCCACACAAGCTTTGCTATGCTGCAATCGATCGGACGCCGCAGGCGACCTGGAGGCGTCGAATCGGAGAGCATCTCAATACGAAACTGGACAACGGTCATCAGGACATGGAAGCGCGTCTCGAACCTTGGATTTTTGGCCTCCGTCGCCGGAGAAGAGCATGGGTGGAGATTCCCAACTCTACTGCCACCAATTGTCACGCGTGGAGGAGTATGGTCCGTAACATCATTGAGACCAGCTAGATCAGACATAATCACAGTCTTATCAAGTAGAAGTAGTACATACAGACGACAGCGTCCCTGTCTTACGTCTGGGCTAATTAGCTTATTAAGCCATTTCTTGGATCATTTCAAGTGGGTTATAGGTAGGCCAAATCGGATACATGAGGAGAAAGACGCGAGACCAACAGGACTTTTCCGTTACAGCTCCAAAGGCTTGATTTTGATTGCAGCAATGACATGAATGCATAGTGGGTAACGGTTTATTATATGGATCTCCACAAAATATGAACACCCGAAATTCCGTAATACATGACTGGTAGTAATGGGGGTAATATAGGTGGGAGCAATAGAGGGGGAGCAGGAGAGAAGACAAAACGAAATAAAAAAGGAAATTGCAGATGGAATTTAATAAAAATATAACATATAGCAACGAAAAAAGTGCGATAAACGGAAAATAAATGAAAATAATAAATACTGAACTATTCATTTAATTAACTGAATTGACGAAATAATAAATTGGTATATTCCAAAAACCGCAAAATTTATAGGATCTATAACACTTCTGGAGCGCTCATCAGTTGCAGCCATTCCAATGCGTTAAAGAGTAACGAATTAGAAAAATCTGAGATTGAATTGGTACGGAAAGGTCACAGGTCATAGTCACCAAGGCTTATTTTTAAAGTCAGAAGGTTAAAACAAGGTGAACGGAGAAATAGAGGAAAATGAGTTACGGGAAAAAAGGAGGGGGAGTGTGTAAATTTGGGATCCGGTTGTTACCAAAGCAAGACTAGGTTAACTACATGCTCCAACTGTTAACATAGGTCTGGTTTTGAGCGTCTTATATAGGCCGCCTCCAGGTAGCGCAGGATACGAGATGTTCATGCT